CAACTTCCCCAACAAACTGGGATACATCATTCCCGACCATACAGAAGCTCGAAGGGCGGTGCACCAATGTTGGAGTGATAGTTGTTGTTGTAGGAAAAGTCCATAAGAGGTAGGTAGGAATCCCAACTCCCACTAAAATCTATGACATAAGCTATCAACATATCCTCAAGTGTCTAGATGGTCCGCTCATTCTGGCCATCGGTCTGCGGATGATAGGTAGTGCTGAAATGAAGCCTCGTACCCAGTTCCTCGTGGAACTTCTGCCAAAATCGGGAAGTGAACCGAACATCTCAATTTGAGATAATGGGGACCGTTACCCATAACGAGCAACAATCTCACGAACATACACATCGGCCAAATTTTCGGCCTAGGAGCTCTCCCGGATGGCCAGAAAGTGGGCACTCTTGGTCAATCGATCCACGATGACCCAGATAGCCTCAAAACCCTTGGCATTCTTTGGTAGATTGGTGATAAAATCCATGGTGATATGTTCCCACTTCCACATGGGAACTTCCAAAGGCTGCAACTTGCCATTCAGTGTAACACCCCGACTCCCAGGTATAAATTTTACAGCTTTATATTAAGATTTAAAGGCCTACTCGACGAGTTGGATGCCCCAACTCGTCGTGTAGAAACGAATATGGCCGCGTGATTTAAGGCCTACTCGACGAGTTGTAGCTGGAATGTGAAACCCTAATTTCCAGGGGTTTGCACCCTATTTAAAGGATCATTAGCCATCCTCTGCCTCACTTATCGTACCCCCCCCCCCCCCGACCTAAAAAAACCCTAATCGTGTATTACTGCCCATTTTGTGTGTGTAAAAGCTTGGAAGGTGGTTTAGTGCAAGGAACTTGAAGAATCAAGAGCTTGGATCAAGGAGAAGCTTGTAGATCCAGTACCTACTCCATTTTGGCTTCCATTTTAAGGTAACAAGTTGTTACCTTGATCATTCTACTGTTAGCCTTCATAATCATAAAGTTATCGAATTTATCATCGAGTATTGAGCATGATCTGAAGTTGTAACTACAGATCTGGACTCCTCTAAGCCCTCATAATCATAAAGTTATCGCATTTATCATGCTTTGGCCCTTCTCTTTGGCTTAAACCTCTTCATTAGCTTGGTTTTGGCATTTAAGGCCTTGCATGTACGTAAAGTTTGCAACTTTACGTGGTAACCATGCCCTAGGAGGCTAGATCTACAATTTGGAGGCTTGGTCTTGCTTAAAGGCGTTTGAATAAGAAAAGGAATGAAGGGACTTGACGGGTTGCATGGTCAACTCGACGAGTCGGATGAAGATTGCCTGTTTTTGGTTCTGCATGGACTCGACGAGTTGTCTGGAAACTCAGCGAGTCGACTAGGGTTTTCACGACTTCTTGAGTTCTGAAGGAACTCGACGAGTCAGGGAGTTACACTTGACGAGTTGGGTCAACATGAACTGTTGACCTTGACCGTCGACTTTGACTTTGACCAAGGGTTGACCAGTTTGACTTCTAAGGGTACTTTGGTAATTTGGGTATTTATGGAAGTGGATCATTGGTGGTTGGAGCCGTGATTTGGGAATTTGATATTTCAGTTTCGATCGACATTGTGAGGTGAGTTGTCCTCACTATACTAACAGGGTCAAAGGCACCAATGCCGGCCCTTTTCGGATTTGTATTCGGGTTTATTGCATGATGATATGCTTAGTGACTTGTTAGGTCGGTATCTTGGTATATAGGATAATGCTATGTTAGTGACCGGTTAGGTCGGTATCTTGGTATATAGGATAATGTTATGTCGGTGATCTGTTAGATTGGTATCCTGGTTATAGGATGATGCTATGTTAGTGATCTGTTAGATTTGTATGACTATCTATACATGCTAGCTAGCGTATGATATTTATGTGCACATGATTGTTTGATTGGGGGGTTGGGTTGACGCGGCCATGCTTTGTGCTTGTGCCAACATACCCATGGCGGACCGGATAGACTGCAGACCTGTTTAGGGCGTATTAGTCAGACCGAAGGTCCGACGAGCGGTTAGGATAGGCTGAAGGCCCTGAGAGGCGTTCCAGACGTGCCGATGGCTCGGAGAGCGGTCCAGATAGACTGATAGCCTTGCGAGGCGGTCTAGTCAGGCTGGTGGTTCATTATGCATGATGTTTGTTTATATGATATTGATATGGTTTGCATGGCGTTGGTATTTTAGGGGAACTCACTAAGCTTCGGGCTTACAGTTGTTGATTTTGTTTCAGGTACTTCTGATGATTGCGGAAAGGCGAAGGCGTGATCGTGTACCTCCTTATATTTTTATGATTTGATTCTGGGATACTCTGACATAAAACCATTTTGAAAACAAATTTGTAATAGTTATGGGTTTTGAATGATTTAAAAAGTTTTAAATTGACATGGTTTTTATGGGTGTTATAGTACATATACGACCGTTCATAAATATATAAACGAGAAAATTTGACCTAAACCTAAAAGGCCAAGCCTGACTGAAAAACACAAAAAAAGCCCAATTTTTTTTTAGTTTTTTAAATTCCAGATCTAATGATAAGTCTCATGTCTCCATATTTTGACAAGACTTGTTGTGCCTGTGTTTCTTTAGTCGTTGTTGTTTTAGATTGCATACTTAATCGATGAAAAAACTACCATTCTTCTATGCATGGTGATAAGGGCGTCGATCACCTATATCGAATACACTAATCCATAACCAAAATCAATATAACTCACCTGTGAATGTGAAATTGAACCATAAATTGCCTTAGAACACTTCTAAACTGTCCCAAATACAACAATATAAGGATAAGATCTGATTTGAGTTCCCTTTTTTGTAACACCCATAAAATTCAAGTCAATTTAAACTTTTCAAAACATTTAAAACCAACAGTTATTACAAATTTGTTTTCAAAATAGTCTATATCAGAGTTTTTCCCATAATCATAAATAAAACATGAGGAGCTGTACGATCATGCCTTCGCCTTGCCGCGATCCCATGATGTACCTGAAACAATAAACTAAAACTGTAAGCCCGAAAGCTTAGTGAGTTCCCCCAAAATACCGGTACCTTGCACATAACACATATACAAATAAAATCATATAATGGGTCCACAACTTTACAGACTGGATTACCCCCTGGGCCCACAGTGTGAGTCTGGATTGCCTTACGGGCCCACAGCTCACATCTGGATTGCCACCGAGCCCACAGTATGAGTCTCCCTCAGCTCGTATCTGGAATGCTCCCGGGTTTGTTGGTTACCGCACGGAGTAGTATCACCTCAATCCGTCTCACATACAGTATTACAGGTAATCCTACAGATCTACCCGACTAGCATATCAATTGGCATACATCACTAACTCAAACTCAACATATCATTAACTACTAGGATATCAAATCCAATGGGCCGACCTTGGTGCCTTAGACCCCTTAGTATAGTGAGGATAACTCACCTCACAAGTAGTGCCGAAGTACCGCAAGTCTCTGACTGCTATCTCACCGGGAATCCTGAACTATCACATAATAAATACTAAGTTAGTTCCCGAAATAACCTCCTTGACTAAGTGTCCACACCACTCATTAAGTCCATTCTCTTAATTGGGCCAAGGCCCAATTACCAAGTCCTTAACTTGAAGGTCCATATATAAAGCCCATTATTGGCTCAATTTACTAAATTGAGCCCAACCTCCTAATTGGGCCTAACCCCATGAACAACTACCACTAACTGGCCCAAAATATCTTATTTACAAAGTCCAGCAAAGGCCCAAATCCATTTAGTTCATAAACAACCCAAAACCCGAAGCCCATTTGACAAAGGCCCAACAGAGGACATACGCGGGGCGTACTCGTCCAGATGTTGACCACCATCGGGGTGGTTGACCCAGTACGTTGGGCGTACTGGATTTACGCTGGGTGTACTCAATAATTTGCCAAAACCTTATTAAGTGCTTAATGACTTAAGTATTTAAGCCCAAACTTCAGATCCAGAGACCTAACATGCCTAGGATCCATAAAGTCATGAACTTTATCGCTTTGGACATCCATAAAGTTCTTAATGCTTGGTCTTAATACATTAAGACCTTATTTCTCCATGCATGGGACACATACTGCTAATGAGACCTCATTTTTATCACTCAAGGTCCCTTCAAGAGTCTAGAAGGACAATCCTTTTTGTCCAAATCTCAACATACACCACCTTGTGGTTCCGGGACAAGAAATGTTTCTAATAAAGTAAAATGATGAGATCTATGCATATATGCATAAAGTTTGGAACTTTATACCTTCTGGAGCTTCTTGAGCACAAGTTAACTTCAGATCCACAAGCTAGATCTTCTCCTCCAACTCTTTGATGCAATAACTTCCTCTTAAAGCGCTCAAGAACACACCAAGTAAGCTTAAACACACAAAGGAGAGGCTAGGGTTTGGGGAGGACGAATGTAAACTGTGGAGGCTGAGGTAAGGGGGGTTCTGGTGCTCATAATGTTGTTTATATAGGCCCCAAACCCTAAATATTAGGGTTTCACCCAGACATTAGTACGCCCAGCGTACTAAGGCGGACCTTAATACGCTTAGCGTACTCTTATGTACGCGCAACGTACTCCCTTTTGGCCTAAGTTTGCAAACTTGGTCCTTAAACTTATCTTGACTCTTCACTTCCAACCCCAAGGACCATAAATGACAAGGTAATAATAGAAGAGGGTTCGGGAATACCTACCAAATTCTCGGGATGTTACATTTTTTCATTCGAATTCTAATACTCTCTCCGTCCCATAATTATCGTCCACTTTTGACTTTTGAAGTCTTTATTCATCAACTTTGACCTTAAATATTTTTATTTGTTTTATGGATTACTTGATGAAACTTATAACAATGAAAAAACATTTAAAACACAATTCGTTCATATATTTTGCATCAAATATTATATATCAAAAACGAAAATATTTAAGTTTAAAGTTAAAGAATAAAAACTTCAAAAAATCAAAAGTGAACAATAAATATGAAACGAAGTCAGTATATAAATATGGCAAAGCCAAACCATATCGGGATACATCAATATCAAGTTTTCTCCATCACTTCTTTGTTGACGTTCATTTCCACCAAACGACATCAAATCGTGAGTTTTACAATACATTCCTAAACGAGCACATTATAAACATTTAAATATAGAGACTCTTGTGTGGTCCTCTAGTAATTACTCATTACTCGCAAAGTTCTTTTTTAATATTGTTTACGAATGTACAACTTGCTCCAAATCTCCAATACAGCAAATATTCACTTTGTCACGATTTGCATTTTGACATAATTTCATTGATTTATTATTACATCTTACTTTCATTTTATTCTCTAATACAATATTATAATTCAAAAAAATTACCAAAACATAACAATATCATTAAAACATCAATCCTTATCACATCATATGCTTCAACTTTTAATCTAAAACTTTTAATAACAATAACAAAGTGTCCATTTAAAAAATAAAATAAAATTATAAACTAATTTTGAATTAAAAACTTGAAACACATACAATTACATCATTTTCTTGTTTTTGTTTTCTAATGTCTTTTTATTACTTTTTTGACCATCAAAATTTATGTTTATACTTTATACGTTTAACATGTTTATAACCAAAAAATTCAAAAATAGATTTACATGTTTAATAAAAAATAAAAATAAAAATAAAATTGTTGAATTGTATGAAATAATTAGATACCTACAAGGAATCTTATATGCACCCCCATTCTCTGTCTCCATGTCGCTCTCTTTCTCTTATCTCGTCACATGGGAAGCAATGAGCAGATGCTTGTATTCCCTCCAGCAAGATTGCTTGTAATTTCAATTTTCAACTACAAATAATTGCATTTAGTGTTTCATTTTTGTTCATTCATGTCCACCGATCAATCAAATTCCCAAATACTTTCATAAATCCGCTGTTCCATTCCCATATTCCTCTAAATCCGCAAATCTTGCCCTAATTTTCATATCCAAGGTAATTATTCGTACTTTTGGCCTTAATCTCGCGTAATCAATTATGTTTGAATCCGAATTCTGATAATCACTCTTCGATTACTTTAATTCTTTTAGTTCTAACAATCATTGAGTGTGTGTATATATGAATTATTACGTATATTTCGTAACTTCTAATTTTGCTTTTTGCTGATTTGAAGGAAAGGGAACGTTTTGGTGGAGTCAAGCCGGGAAATTTGGGGTTGGGCGGTTTTGAGAAAAACTGGAAGAGTTGTTCTTAAGAGATGTTGCTGGCTTTGAATCGTAATGGGGTTTTATTTCATCAACTGTTTCTTCCATTTCTCTGAATGGCATCCATTGGAGTTCAGCAAATAGCAGATTAATTAGGGCTTGATTGCCTCCTTCCTGTAATTTCATAGGTCAGCATAATCGAATCCCACACAGCTTTTGCTATTTTTTCTGAAATTCGATTTCTCTTCTCACTTCTAAACTCAAAGCTTCACTTTATTGAAATGATATGATCAACTAAATATCAATGAGATTATCATATTTGTCAAGGAAGTTATATGAAATTGAAAGATAGCACGCCTGTTTTAAAAAGTCAATGCTCAATTATTTATTCCTTCATTCTCTTGTGTTGGAATAAAGGGGTTTATTTTATTCCAGAGTTATTGCTTGCTTAACTTGACTTGTTTTTGCTCAACTTTTATTCTAATTAAGCTGATAAACGTTTTCTCTAGACTATTTGAATTCACAGAGTATTAAAGAACATCAACTACTCCATGTTCATTCAGGGATAATCATCTGCAAGTGTAACATAAATGGGCTGCTGTGGTTGTTTTGGGTTTTCATTTGCAAAAAAACACAAGAATCAGAGGCCAAGGGTACAGGGGGGAAATCATGTTCTACAGGGGTTATTAAATGAAGAGGTGGAAGAAGAAGATGAGGAGGAAGAAGAAGAAGAAGAAGAAGATCATCACTCATATACTGACAACATGACAGATACTGAAAAAGGAGATCATGAAGAGCTTAGAAGCCCTGCTAAAACCTCTCAAGAGATTCTTATTTACAGGACAGAAAACGGATTAATTTGCAGAGAGTTTCCTGTTAAGGAAACCCACAAAGTTATTCGATCAGAGGTAATCTTGATTTTCACTTTGAGTTTCTTTTCATTTTTTACCAATATTTTTTGTTACTTTTAGGATGAAAATGGGAACAAAATGGTGAATGAGTATGTTCGCGAGTGTAAAATTGGAGCTGGTAGCTATGGCAAAGTGGTAATTTACTAATTACTTGATTTTAAAAAGTTTATTAAATTATTAATTCTTATTCATTAAACTTACATGTTCTACAGGTTCTTTATCGAAGCCAGATTGATGGGAAGCATTATGCCATTAAGGTTCTTATACTTTATAAATTTATAAAATGTTTGTAAATTTGTAATAAGAATAATCACCATTTCCAAATTTGTTAATGCAGGCTTTTCACAAATCTCATTTATTAAAGCTACGTGTTGCCCCATCTGAAACAGCCATGACTGATGTTCTTCGTGAGGTAATTTAATTTAACCTAAAACATTTTTTCTTTCTTTTCTATTTTTGTTTTTTTAAATGTTTTTGGAATTTCCTCACAGGTTTTAATCATGAAAATGTTAAATCATCCGAATATAGTGAATCTTGTTGAGGTGATTGATGATCCTAACACAGATCACTTTTACATGGGTATGAACTATGAACTATGAACTATTGAACTATGAACTCTTACTTTCATTTCGATTTTTTTATTTTTATTATATAAATGATTAATTTATTTATTCTTTTTTTAGTTCTTGAATATGTTGAAGGGAAATGGGTGTTTGAAGGTGCGGGCCCACCAGGTGGCCTAGGAGAAAATCTTGCAAGGAGATATTTGCGCGATATAGTATCTGGATTGATTTATCTCCACTCTCATGTAAAATTACAAAACCATTTTATTTTAAAATAAATTCAAGATTTGTCTTTACAAGATTTAAAAAAAAAATAAACAACATTTTCTTTAAATCCAAGATTGCATCTTTATCATTGTAATGATCACAAAATCTTGATAACAAATAAACGAATTGATATTCTGTGTTCTTATTTTTTATTTCCTTTTTTTTTAATAAAATTACAGAATGTTGTTCATGGAGATATAAAACCTGATAATCTTCTAGTAACTGGTAATGGGAATGTAAAGATTGCTGATTTCAGTGTGAGCCAAGTTTTTGAGGTAATGAAATTAAATTTACTTCTTGATATTATGTTTAATTGCAAGAAATAACAATATACTTTTATTGATTTGTTTCTTATAGCATCCTACTTTCATTTTTTTTAAAAGTATAATGCCTTAATATAATAATTTTTTAGAAAGTACAATGCTATAATAGAAAGAAATGAAAGTAGGAAAGTAGGTTGCTGTTTCTTGCATTTAGTTCTAATTAATTGCTAATCATATTTTTCTTAACCTTAAAATATATTTGTAGGATGAAAATGACAAGCTTCGCCGCTCCCCTGGGACACCTGTTTTCACCGCTCCCGAGTGCTGTCTAGGTAAATATACAGGACAAGACATGACATGACAGATCAGAACAGTCCGTACATGACATGACATGACAGAAAAGACTGTACTAGGACTAGGACTGGGACTGATGTCAATGCAACAAGATTTCAACTTTTTGGGATGGGATGGTGACTACCTCTCAGTCTCTAGTGTTTGCAAAAGACGAAAATGCCCTCCTCGTACAAGATAGTTTCAACATTTTTTTTTATTTTTTATAAATAGGTAAAAATTATCATGGTAAAACTGCGGATACATGGGCGGTTGGAGTTACTTTATATTGTATGATATTGGGACAATATCCTTTTCTTGGAGATACACTACAAGATACGTATGACAAGGTATAAAAAAGTTCTTTTGTCTTTTAAATATTTTAAATGTCAAAATATTTTTTAAATTAATTTCTCGTTTTATTTTTCAGATTCTTAACAATACTATATTTCTCCCCGATGATATGAACCCCATGCTCAAGAACCTTATCGAAGGGCTTCTTTGCAAAGGTTAGTTTTTTTGTTTTAATGTAAAAAGAACGACTTAATAGAGACAATAAGGGAAATTACGAATTTGCCCTTTGTTTGAATAGATCCTATGGAGCGAATGAGTCTGAAAACGGTTGCAGAGCATTCATGGGTGATGGGAGATGAGGGACGGGTCCCGGAATATGTTTGTTGGTGCAAAAGGAACAAGTTACAAAGGGAAGAAGAGAGAGAGATTATTAGCAATACAAATTAAGGCGATTTTGCTTTTTTGTTTTATGGATATTTTTGTATAGTAAGATGTTGATTTATTAATGAGTTTGATAAAAAAAATAAAATAAGGAAGGGGATAATGTGAGATAATAGTTTGGAACTTTATATTCTGGTTTGTTGTATACCTCTTAATTATATTTTTATCGATTTCACTAATCCATGTTGTATAGGTTGTGTTTGGTAGACTAGCTAAAATATTAGCTTTTATCTGAAAAGCTAGCTTTTGTCTGAAATAGCTGGTAGTTGATGAAGTGATAGTGTATGGTAAAAAATAGTTGATAAACTAGATGACATATAAAATGTTTTAAAACGACATTAGCTGGAAATGAACATTTAATGGTATATTTGGAAAATGTTATGTGAGTTTTTCAATAAAACAGTGTTTGTTTTTGAACTAGTAAAATGTCTTTTTTTTTTCTTTCTTCTGTGGAAGAAGATGCGGATCAAAAATCTTTTTCCATGTCTTAATAAAAAAAAGTGGGTCATACAAAATATTGTTAATCTTTTTCCATGTCTTTATAAAAAAAAGTGGGTCATACAAAATATTGTTTGTTTTTTAACGTGTCTTTTCAAATGACCAAAGTTTACCGATATACATAAAGTCTTTTTTTTTTTTTTTTTGGTTAAAAAAGAAACACCCAAATTATACCAATATTTATAAAAACATTTTTAAATAAGACATCCAAAACTTTACCAATATTAATATAAGTTTTTTTTAATTTTTTTTAATTTTTTTAAAAACACATAACTTTAAAATAATATAGACGTTCTTATTGTCACTATTAAAAACAATATAGTTTTAAATTGTAGAATTTTTCTCGATACGCGTTTAGATAACATAACATTGCTACCTACTTTTTTTTTTCTCCTTTTTTATGGTAATAACCGTTGGTTTGTCCAAAATTAAGAAAACAATATCATTTCAACATATTTAAATCAAGACATATTTTTTTTTTTTTGTTTTCACCTGGGTAAAGAACACAGATTCTTGAGTCTAGATGACTCGATCCATTTTTGGAAATCGCCAAGAAAATGCTTTCAAGAACTTTTAGGAAGAGGGGATAATCATAAATTTGACGACATTGATCCAAGAGTAAAAAACAGGTGAGAAATGAGATGGTTGAGTTGAGTGGTGAATGAAGAGAGGTAGGGTCAATTAATTTCAAAGAGTGGTTTTCAAAGTTTAGATCAAACAATACCCGTATTTAGAACTTAAGATCATGAATGAGATAACAAGCAATGTTGATCTACAAAGTTGAAAAACAAGAATGATGAAATATTTGGGGACAATTAGGATTAAAAGAGAAGGGCATAACATACCAAACGAAGGCGGAGTGTAGAGATGGAGGCGGCAGCCAGGAGCGATGGTCGACGAGGAATGTCGAAGGTTGCAGCAAGCGGGAGAGTTGATGAAAGGGAAAGCAGTCGAAGGCGTGGTTGGATATGCTTTCATGAATGGTAAGTGTTATTTTTAGGTCTTTTTGGAAAAACGGTCAAAAAGTCTGAATCTTTTCAGAATCTTTTGTTTTAAAAAAAACAAACAGTATTTAGAAAACATCAATCCGCCCGTGGACATAAGTGTCCAAAAAGTACTTTTAGTAAAAAACAAATCACACCCTAAATATATATCTTTTGAATTTCTTTTTGTAATACTAGTGTGAAAAAAATAAAAATAAACTTAAAATTTTATTATGGTAATGCATTATCTAAAACAAATTTGTTACAAAGTAAACCTTAATTCCACCTCTTTCATATCCATGATTGTTATAAGTGGATCTTTATATAAACAAAGTATGTGTTTACATGTCTACAAAAATTCTAATATTTTGTGTAAAAAAATATTTGTAATGATGTTACATACATTGATTAACAATCTTGAACCCTCTATTCTTTCTGTAAATAGGTTAAATATCTAATAATTGTACCATTTTAGGACAAATTCATGTCTTTTTAAGTAT